GGGAAGGTATTCATGCACTGGGCTGTGTTGGTGGCTTAGAAGAAGGTAACGTTTGCCAAGAATCATATTATCTCTTTGTTAATGTGTATAATGCATTTTTTTTTTACTTTGAAATATGAAAAACAATTAGCTGACTTTAGAAACTCCCCAATGTGTTTCTGTCTTATTGGGAAAATTTGTGGGGAAGGTGAGAGACTGGACAGATGCTGCCACCTGGACTGTTAGATTCCCTGGCCCTATGAGAGGCCTGTGATATGGGCTTAACAGCAGGACAAGTTTGTGTCAGATTTGGAACATCTGCAGAAAAGCAACAGAATGACTCATTCTTATAAAATACCTTTTACTCTGCACAGAAAATACCACCTTCAATTACTGCTGTAGTCTTTATTTTTCTCTGTGGAATCCCTGGTTCCTTTTGAGGCTCCTGGGATAGGCAGACCTGGAGAGCTTTGCTCTGGTCACAAGGGAGGCCCTGGAGCTCTGGGTTGATGGCTCAGCAGGTTTCAGACTCTGCCACTCGCCTCCTGAAAAGGTAGGATGTAAGCCAGTGGACTGGGCCGTGGAGGGAATTGGAGGAAACTAGTGCAGTTAGGGTGCAGGAAACCCTAAGCAGCATTCTCCAATTGGGGTTGATGGGTTAAGGCCTTCAGGGATGGAATAAAACAGTGCTGAACTCAGCGAACTGCTGATGGAAGCCTGGTGACTGGGAAGAAATGACAATAAACAGATTCCTTTGTCATGTTGTTGGCTTTGTAGCAAATATCTGTTTTCTCCTTGGGATTACGTGAACATTGGCTTTTCTTTGATTTCTGGTTGTTGTTCTCAATATTTCTTTTGTTAGAGGAGTTGCTTCAAACTGCTCTGTAGAAGCCCCTAACTCTCTGCTTTGCAAGGCTTGTGTTTAGAGTGGCGCAGCCTCCACACATCACCTGTTAGCTGTTAGGAGTCTTAATTCTGCAAACCATGATGTCATCTCCCCAAAGAAAGATAGAATGCTTCAATCCAGCAGATATGGTTCAGTTCAAGATGTTTGGGGGGGCGGGGGGGGGAAAGACTCTAAGCCTTTGGTCTCTGGGTGAACTTGGAAAGTAGACCTGTCAAAGGTATTCATGTTCAGACAGCTGGTCTGTAGCTGGAAAGGCTGCCAGATAATTCTGTTATTCAAGGCTGTGAGAACTTTGTCAAGTGGCCTTAAATTGATCGTGCTCAGTGAGGCTGGGGAAGGTTGGGCCCAAAGGTGCCTTTGCATTGCTTGCTGCTCTGAGGAGAGGATATGGTCCAGGCAGCACAAAGGCTGTAGAGTGGGAGCAGTGCTGCTGGGGTGTCTTGAAAACTAGATCTTCAAACAAATAAACAAAATATCTTTAAAAAATAGCACATGAGCTGGCTGGTGATGTTCATTCAGTATGTCCCCTTTGTAGTGTTTATAATCAGGGAGCCTTACCACCCTTAGGGTTATCTCCAGAGTTGTCCACAAGTGCTTTGGGCCCCAAACTAGAGTTGGTCAGTGGTAAACAAATCAAACTGTCACTGGCAGGAAGACTTGACTTGAGGGGTGGAGAACTGGTAAGGGGACTGTTTCTTCTCCTAACTGCTCTTTCCAGTTTCCTCCCAGGTTTCTTATGGATTCCATTTGTTGTGGTTACAGCCTCCAGAGCTGTGGCTCCTGAAAACTACCTCCAAGAGAGGGTGCAAGCACTGAGCTCTGGTAACTGGAGAAAAGGATTTGCATCTGTAGATCTGGCGTTCTCTTGGTTCTCTTTCCTGAACCAGCAGATTTTTTTTTTTTTTTTTTTTTTTTTTTTAGAATTTCCCAGAACCTTCCAAACCACAGGCTGCATCAAGGGCAGGAAACCCTCCCCTGATGCTGGCTCTACCCTCACCCAGGAGGAGGCAGCCAGTGTGTGTAGGGGCAGGCATCCCCGCGGCTCAGGGTGCAGTGGCAGGAATCCATGCCTAGCTGAGTTGGACTTCCATAATTTAGCTTTTCTATCATTTGTAAAGCCCAGATCACTTACTAGGAAGGAAACCTAATCAGGAAACCTCCTGGTGGTTCACACCTTGCCCCAATTCCTCAGCAGCGGGCACCCTCTCCTTCCCGAACATGCCCTGGAGGGCAGATGGGTCCTGTTCCATCTTGTCCAGTTGCTGTCATTTTAGACCTTCCCTCTCCCCTGCAGCAGGCAGCTTCTCTTAGCCAGGAAAGCCCTTTGTGATTGGGCTTCTCCAGTCAGACTGAGGACAAAGGACGGGTTTACTGAATACTTGGCCAGGGGAATATGTGCACTGGATTCCTACTTTTGTTATCAGATTTCTCCCCCTTCTTCCTTGGCTGTTGTAAAATGCCCAGCCCTCTGTGAGCTTCAGTGTAGGGGTGGGGCAGGGCACCCACTTCTCATAAAAGGTGTGTCTCCCAGGTGCTCTGTTTTTTTGTGTCCCTTGATGAAGGGGTTACTATGGTAACTGTTCCTCTGGCAAACAGGCAGGAGTGAATGGCAGATAAGGCTTTTGCTCAATTCTAGCTGGGGTGTGGATTTCTGCCCCTCTTTGTTGTCCCCACTTGATACAGCTTCCCTCCCACCCCACAGGGCTGAGTTCAGAGGTGAGCTGGAGTTTTGCAAAAAGGATGGAGTCCTGAATATTCTGGTTCCTTGGTGAGGAAGGCAACAGAATGGCACCCTGCCCAGCTCTTTCTAAGGAGCCCAAACACTCCCCATGCACACACCTCTTCCGGCCCTCCACTCCACCTCATTGTCACTCTTAGGTGGATCTAGTCTGTCCTCACAGAATCCATTGCTTAATTAGCTGTAAGTGAGCCCAGTCTTTGCTATTTCCCAAGTGTAGAAGCTTGGGAAGTTTCATTCACAGTGTGAGAGTTCCGGGGGGAAAAAGCTCATGGAAGTCAAGAGGAATTCCTGGAGGATTGATCTTCAGATTTCTCAGCCATGGGTGCTACTTATGTCATTCCATTGCTTTATTTCTGTTATATACTGCCTGTCCCCTACCCAAATCACCCCTTCCCACCCTCAGGGCTTTGCATTCATCACCTCCATCTTCCCTGCACCAAGAGAGCAGCACTGCCAAAAATAAAAAAGACCACATCCCCCCTCCCCGCCCCCCCCCCCCCACCAACGGCCTCTGTGCCTTCTCTTAGGGAGACCTTTTACTAACATCCAGGCAGGAAGAGGAACCAGGCCCCCTCCACTTTCCTGAGTAACCGCAATTTCAAACGATCTTCTTGCCAAAAGGATGGGCTTAGGGCACCACTGTGAGTTAGTCTATCTCTGTCTCTGTCTCTCTCTCTCTTGCCCCTCTTCGTTGTAGACTTCTTAGCACATTATGGGGAAAAGGTGGTAATCCATCTGCCTCCTGTATATTCTGGATCTGCAGACACTGATGGCCTGTGCTTCCCTGTGGCCTTGGAAAGTGGGGGCAGGCTGGGGAGAGGAAGGGATGATGGAGGCCAGGAAGCCAGCCACGTGGGCTATAGCTCTATGTTGCAGCTGCCCCTCTTCGGCCTCCTGCTGCACAGGCTGCAGCCCAGCAACAAGTGTGACCAGCTCTCCTTCCTGTGCCCTTACTCTTAGGGTCTGTGCTCAGGTCAGACTCCTGCTTTGGCTCCGTCCCAGGCCGTAGTCAGGGCTATAGCATGTAGATGTGCCACCTCCTCCAGGAACATGGGAGAACAAAGGGCAAGCTGGGTTGGCCAGGAAGGCAGTTGGGCATTCATGGCAGGTCTAAGGTCATTTAGGCTTCCCAAGCTCCCTTCTCAATTTAGCCAAGATAGGTCCATCTGTGCTGCGCATTAGCACTCTTTAAAAAAAAAAAAAAAAAAATATATATATATATATATATATATATATATATATGTATATTTTTAGATTTCAGAGAGGAAGGGGAGAGGGGGAGAGAGAGAAACATCAGTAATGAGAGGAAATCATTGATTGGCTGCCTCCTGCACACTCCTTACCAGGGATTGAGACCACAACCCAGGCATGTGTCCTTGACCAGAATCAAACCTGGGACCCTTCAGCCCACAGATTGATGCTCTAACCACTGAGCAAAACCAGCAAGGGCTGGCAATTAGCACTCTTGATGGCCTCTTTTTTAAAGTTGTGCTAAGCATTGATTTCACCAGCAATAAAAGCATTTTTCTCCTTAGTTTGTTGACTGAGAGACACTTTTTGTCATGCTGAGGTATCAGCATGAAAGGTTTATCAGGTGGAAAACTGAAGTTTGGTTTGACAACAGAGACCTTGTTTCCTCTTTCCTTTTTTTTTTGAACAACTTGGTCGAGAACTGAATTGTTCAAGATGGGAGACATTTGAGAACCAAGGTTTGACAGTATTTTTGACATTGACTTTATGTAAAGAGTCCAGTTATCTTCCAGTTTTGAATCTGAGTGTGCAGGCGGTCAACATCTACTCCACTGACAGACTTATTGTAAAATGCCACCGCCTCCTGAAGCTCCTAAACCGTTCACTTTTAGGGACCACACTATTGGCTTATCAGGGTTGGTCTTGGTGACATCAGCTCTGTTCTAGCAAATAAGTTCAGATCTGAGCTCTACCACTTCTTACTGATGACCTTTGACCAGTCACTTCTCCTCTGTAAGCCTCTGTCTTCACCTCTGAAACAGGGTTGGACCAGGGGGTTGATTCAACAACTCCTGTGACTTAGCTCAAAGTGTGCTTCCCACCTCAGGGTAGCTGCTTTGTGAACTGATACCTGTGTCCATTCCCAGCTCCATGAGTGACGGTAACGCCGTCGTCGGCAAACTGTGGCTCTTTGGCCCCTTGAGTGTGGCTCTTCCACAAAATACCACAGCCTGGGCAAGCCTAATTTGAAGAAGTGGCGTTAGAAGAAGTTTAAGTTTTCAAAATTTGGCTCTCAAAAGAAATGTCAATCATTGTACTGTTGATATTTGGCTCTGTCGACTAATGAGTTTACCGACCACTGCTCTAACACAACCATATGCTCTTCCTCTCTGTTCCTTACAGCGGAGATTCTGGAGCTGGCTGGCAATGCGGCCAGGGACAACAAGAAGGGACGGGTCACACCCCGGCACATCCTGCTGGCCGTGGCCAATGATGAAGAACTAAATCAGGTACAGGGCTCTCCTAGCCAGCCTACCCCAGACACCTGAGCAGCCAGTCATGCTGCCTGAGAGATAGAGCTGTCTGTGCAGAGGGAGGTTGGCATGTTACTGGCTTTCAAAGGTGTGGACTGCATTTTAGACTGTTAGCAGCTTCCGTGCCCACCTTGGGTGTTTTTTCCTAAAGGCCTTATTGGGATTGGGGGGCAGGGATGAAACAAGGTATTTGGCTCTCAAATGAATCCCCCTCCCCTCCCAGTGAGGGACTCTGAGGACTTGTTCCCTGTGTAGTGAGCTGAGTCCCATCAGCATCCTTGTAGATGCCAGGGAGGGAGGAACTCTACCAACCAAAATGGAAAGCATAGATGGGCAGGGCTGACTTCTTGAAGGTCGGGGGCAGGCTGGTTTAGCTCACCATCTGCTACTTTGGTATTCCTGCAAGCTGCTAAAAGGAGTCACCATAGCCAGTGGTGGGGTGTTACCCAACATCCACCCTGAGTTGCTAGCGAAGAAACGAGGATCCAAAGGGAAGTTGGAAGCCATCATCACGCCACCCCCAGCCAAAAAGGCCAAGTCTCCATCCCAGAAGAAGCCAGTGTCAAAGAAAGCTGGAGGCAAGAAAGGGGCCCGGAAATCCAAGGTATGTGACTTGGCAGGGGCATGTGGGATAGGGCAGGACAGTGCAGATAGGTGGTTGTCAGGAGAGCCCTCTTCCTGCTGAGCGCTCATCCCTCCAATGGGGTGCAGTTCTACAGAGGAACATGTGGGAACTGGTTACAGAGGGGCTAGTCCTGCTCAAGTGGCCAGAGTCTGGACACAGTTGGGGGACTGGATTCCTGCCGGCAAGGAGTATGTGAGGTGGGTTCCGGGAAGATAAGGATGGAAGGACCTCATGCCTGGTCTTTCAGGGGGATGCCCATGCCTGTGGGAAGTGACCTGTGTGTACAGGATCTTTCTGCTGCTTAGACAGCTACCAATGAGTCCTGCCCAAGGTGCCAGCTGCCCACTTGCTCCTGACACTCTCAGAACTGATGTTGCATTGCCATGGCTACTTGTCCTACTCTGAGCATGTTCCAGCAGGGACAGTCCAGACAGTTTGCTTTTTAGAATGATTGCCTCGTTAATAATACTTATTCAGGCCTCCTGCTAGATCAAACTTGGACTGAGACTAGGTCCTGGATGCTAATCATTTTGTGGTAAATGAAATCCTCTCAGTGTGTTCCTTTGTCACTGGGCCCTGCCTCTCAGCAGTTGTCACAGTTGGTTTGAGAACCAATAAATAAGGCGCAGTGCTGTTAAAGCTCTGTCTTAAATAAATGGAATTTTAAGGCTGTGCTACCTTGCAGTGCCCCCAGGAGTCATCCTTCTCCAGCCACACTGGAGGAAATTACCTCTGGCAGAAGGTGGCCTACCTGTTTTGTAAGACCCTCAATAAGAACTCTTTAGAAATGACTCTTGGGTTCTGATGCAGTGTAAGGACATTTTTCCTACCAAGTCCACGCTTCTCACCAGAGTGATGGTGAGGTCATCTCCTAGGATGGGCTTCCGGGGCCCTGACCCAGAGCCACAATCCTGCATATCCCCGCCTCTGACCTGTCCAAAGATCAGGCCCCGGGCCTGTCTGTGCCACAGACAGATTGGTTCTCACCACATGAGGCACCTTCCTGACCTCTAACCTCCCAGCCACAGTCTTTATATAGTTGCGGTGAAAAGACTGTATTTTTAGTATCTCCTTCTCGGTGCAAACAAATGCTTTCCTGAAGACATCAGAATAAATTCCTCTTTCTAACAGACCACCCACTCCATCCCTCCCACCCCCACCTTACCCCACCCGGTTCTGAATTGTTCCCAGCTCTTTGAGAGAGAAACCTAGTATTGAAGAGCATCCTGTAAGTTTATTTCCAGACGCTGCACTGCACCTAGCTCACAAGTCCTGGAGAAGGCATAGAGTCGGGGGAATTCACACAATGCTTCATTCTCATTCCTGCTAACCATAAATTTAGCAGATTGAACATTTTCTTTTCCCCCTTTCACATTTGCAGCTGGGCCGGGATGAGGTTTTAGGGGGATGGGATAGATAAAGATGGGAAAGAGAGGAGAAAAACACCTGTGCAACCCTTTTTAATTAATTATTAATTGATTAATTATTTTTAAAATCATCACCCAAGGATATGCTTATTGATTTGAGAGAGATGGAAGAGAGAGAGAGAGAAAGAGAAAGAAACATGGATGTGAGAGATAACATCGATTGGTTGCCTTCTATATGTACCCCAACCGGGGATCGAACCCACAACCTAGGAATGTGCCCTAACTGGGAATGAAACCTGCAACCTTTTGATGTATGGGACCATGTCCCAACCAACTGAGCCACACTGGCCAGGGCTGTGTAAAGACAAAACTGCCAAATCCATCATCTCTTGATAATGGGCCTCAGGGAGCTGGGACCAGCAGGGCAGAACTACATCCTTCAGCCTAGCCATCCTCTGGCTGTGACCAGAGCCATGGCCCTTGTTCCTGCAGGTCTGCTGGTCGTTGATGTTTGAGCCTCTCTGATTCCAGTGTGTCTGGCAGCAGTGGGTTGAACCTTGCTATCTGTCACCCTGATTCCTTCCTGGTAGTTTTGCCAATGACTTTCTGAACTTTCCAATTGACCAAACACTAAGAAGGTTTTTTCTTTCTTTTTGGAAATAATAGCTGTGTGTGTGTGTCTTTAGTTCCTAGTAGCTATATTTGGAACTCAGTGTTTCTAATAACCATATGCCAATAATCACTAGAACACTCCACTTTTCCCTTGATTACAAAAGCAGGAAATCTGTTATGGTGGTCTGTTTTTCTTCCATACAATAAAACACATTGTCTGCTTACTGTAAGAATATTTGGCTAACATTAAACCCTGGGGGAAGCTGAAATTGGAACTGTGAACAGCTAATTTTCAAAACATTTGTTTAATGTAAATTGTGGTGTCAGCTCCCAGAAACAGTGGAGAACCCTGCAACTCCAGGTTTAAGTGGAATGTTCTGAAAATAACCTTTCCAGAGACAGGCAGAGAAAGCCTTAGTAACATGCTAAAGTACTTGCAGTGAAAGGGAGTTGGTATTTTTCAAATGTCAACACTTGAATTCCAAATCATAATTTTCTCCCCAATTTTGTATAATTGGACGTTTGTAAAGTCTCCAGTTGTGACAGCTGAGTCAGCTATGGTGGAAATAGAGAATAGAGAAGGCAGCAGAACCCACCAGGGCTAGGAGTCTGGAGCCTTGGAACTGCCTTAGGGCTTCTCCTTCCTACTTGGGTGGCCTCAGGCAAGTCGGGACTCAGTTTACACCCCCCTCCAATAAAATGATGAGGTCCATCCCAGACTTAAAATTTAGTGACTCAATAAATATTTGCACAATGTAATATGTGTAAGAATCGGGATGGTGCAAAAGTATGCAGTAATAGAGTCTCAATCCCACCAGTCCCCCCACTTGCCCTCAGATGTGTCTCTGTAATTAGTCTCCCCCGAGGGATTCCAGATTGCAAGAGAGCAGTTCTTGGGTGATGCACCCTGGAATCGGGGTCCCTCCTCTCTCTCTGGTTCCGGGTGCATCACCACAGCTCAGCAGCTTTGGCATTGAGTATCTGTCGCCCCCTGGTGGTCACTGTGGTCATAGCTACCAGTCAGATGGTTGCTTAGCCTTATATATCTATCTAAGCAATAGAGGAATATGCAAATTAGCCGGGATGCTGTAACGTCACGACTGAATAGCAGGGACCTGAGGCTGCATGGTGCCTGGCTGGGGCAAGGGACCTTAGACTGTGCCCCACACCCCACGGGGCTTGATGGTGACCTCAGGCCATGCCCCCAGCATCGGCCTGCCAGGGCTTGACAGGGGCCTCAGGCCATGGTCCCCACCCGGCAGGGCTTGATGGGGGACCTGAGACTGTGCCCCCCCAGCTTGGCTCTGGGCTGGGGAACCTAAGACTACACCCCCCACACTCAGAGTGGCTTGACGGAGGTGGGACCAGCTGGGTCTGGGTCTCCTGAGTTTTTGAAGTGCATGTGGGTGGTGGGCAGGGACTTGACTCGAGGTCCTGTGGCATGCCCCAGACTGATAGGAGGGAGATTTTCATATAGATTTTACTAATTTCCTTTCATCTCTGACACTTCTATTATAGAGAAAGGGCAAATAGCAATATTAAAATATTTCCTCTAATCCCTTTTAATGTACACAAATTTCATGCACTGGGCCTAATATAGGAAACTACATGAAAACATGAGTAATTCAGAGAAAATGACAGTAAATAGATGAGAACTCGTTTACAACAGGTGAAACAGATTCTCCAAGTCAGTTGTTAGTGTAGAAAAGGTATCTAAGATCCAGGAAATCCTTAATTAGAGTTAAGAGCACATAAAACAGTGTATGAATCCTATATTATTTACTTAAAGGAACCTAGAACTTTAAATGTTTGTCACACAAGGCTTGAAAGAGAGAAATAAGCAAAATTAGTAGTCTACACTAATAAAAGAGAAACATGCAAATTGACTGTACCTCCGCTATGCCCACCAACCAATCAGGAACTACCATGTTTCCCTGAAAATAAGACATCCTCCGAAAATAAGACCTAGCACATGGAAAAATAAGACATCCCCTGAAAATAAGATCTAGCGCATCTTTGGGAGCAAAAATTAATATAAGACACTGTCTTATTTTCGGGGAAACCAGGTAGTATATAAATTACCCAACAAAGATGGCTGCCACCATAAGCTGGAGGGAGCAGGATGCTTAGGTTGCACCTGGTGATGGAGGAAGCCAAGCTTCTCGCCTGCTCTGGCTGGCCCTGGCCTCTAGTCAAGGCTACAAAGTTTCAATTATAGAAGATAAATAAATCCCAGATACCTGCTTCCAGCCAGGTCTGGCCCCCACTCAAGGATGTGCTGAAAAAAAATAAAAGAAAAAAAGGAGGGGCTGGGAGCCTGGACCGCTGGGGGTAGTGGCCAGCCTGAAAACAGCCCTCATCTCCTCACCTAGGCTGGCCACATTCCCATGGGGTGAGGGTCCCCGCTGAGGGGCGTGGCCATCCTGCAAACAGCCCTCAGCCCCTCACCCTGCCAGGGGGGTCAGTTGGAGGTGATCAGGACAGTGGGGAGGCAGTTTGGAGTGAGCAGGCCAGCAGGGGGACACAACTTGCTTTACAGCCAGGTGCAAACATTTCACTCTTTAACCAAATGTCTGTGAAGCATTTTCCCATGCCTCATTTCATTTGATCCTCACAGAAGTCCTGAAGTAGGTAGATAAAGAGACTCGGTGGAATCCTATTTTCTTTTCATTTGCCAGAAAATGGAGATTTAAAAAGCTTAGAAACTTGACCCGACTGAAAATAAGTAAGAAATGGTGGACCTTGAAAATGACTTCAGGTTTTCTCACTGCCCAGAATATTGTCAAACACTGCTGCAGTTAAATTTTTACTCTTTGTTCTCCTGAGTGATCTATAATAATAATGATTTTGGTATTTACTGCTATGTTGCTGGCAATTACCTGAAAGAGAAGTTGGGGTGTTTCACTGTGTTGGAAAGATTTTAGCTACATCAGAAAGCAGGTCTAATTAAGCATGTTTATTCAATGTATATTAAAGGCTAAGTTTACTGGTGCATGTACG